TGGCGGTTCTAGCGGGAAGTTCATTCCCATTTTGCAAATTTCGAGAGTGGTGTGGCGATGCCCGTTATCTGCCGGCAATTACAGAGCCACGGACATCCACACAACTACGAATACAGACAAACCAGCTATGATCTCTCCATTAGCCAGTGGCAAGGTCCCGTGGCGACGCTGATTGGATTAACCTCCCGACTCCACCACTGGTTAATGGGGTAATTTAAAACTGTTCTCATTGCTGAAATCACTTCAAATCAGGTTTTTTTTGGCCAATTTTTTTCTTGTTTGTGACTTTTTTTTTTTTTTTTTCCGACCGTTGGAATAACTGTGTCTGGTGACCATTTCTCAATGTTCTGAACTGTTTTTGTCCATTGGAATTGTCTGTGTTTAACCACCACTGCCTCAGCTGACTCTGGATGGATTTTGAGCAGAGATGGAGAAAAGCCGATCACTGGCGATTTTTTCTGCCCCTCTCCACAACCATGGGCATCGCTGCACTACTCTCAACATGCACAAAAGACAAAAATCATGGGGGCGTATCTCGCCATGTTTCTAGCGAAGATTCATTCTCGTTTTGCACATTTCGAGAGTAGTGCAGCGAGGCCCCACGTCTACATTCTGGCATTCATCCAGTCCTCTCTTTGCTAGTGCGACCTGGCCCTTGGCCTCCTCTCTTTCCAACCCATGATGGAGCAGACACAGCCCAGCAAGCAAAACACCAAAAGAAAAATAGAAAGAGATTGCTCACCAAAAAGAAAAATAGAAAGAGATTAATTTATTCACCAAACATACAAATAGAAAGGTATCACTCACCAAAAAGAAACTTAAAAATGAGATTACAAGGCAACTATAGGCTCTCGCTCTCGTTCCATTTGAGTGAAAAATGGCAAGAACACGACTCTCAGAGTATACTCACACTACCGTCTTCACTCAAATAGAACGCCCGGTCATTATAGCTGCATCTGGACTGAAAATTGCACCAGATACAGCTATAATGACTGGGCGTTCTATTTGGGTGAAGACGGTAGGCCCTCGAAATCACAAAATCAAAAAATGAGCGGCCAGATCGAGTCCTCCTTGTACAAGGACTCAATCTGGCCGCTCATTTTCCAACTTAAAGTTTGCGATTTTGAGGACCTACTAGTGTGAGTATGCCCTCACACTAGGCCCTCGAAATTGCAGAACCACCGACTGAGCAGCCAGATGAAGTCCTTAAACCACCAGTACATGGCCCCAGAGAACCTGTTTTGAGGCTCTCCAAAATTTTAGGAGGCCGAGTGCCAGTGCTGTAGATAAAATGAGTGAGTCGGCAGCGGGTGGCCTCCGAAAGGGGCCCAAGACCGATAGCTGGCATGTACTGGTGTTTTAAAACACCAGTACAGTCCGGCCTGAGAGTCGCCTCACAGTGCGCCAAGCTTTTCCGAACCGCGAACAGGGCATTTTTTTCCTTTTTTTTTGCCTGGCCCTGCCAGCCACCATGGCCAAGTAAGCCGAGCTATTGATTGCTACAATGCAGCGGGGACGAGTCTCTTTTCCTGCAAGGCTACGGTCGCATATTGGCGGTTTGCCAAGTCACTCTGGCATTCTGCTATAATTTAAAACCGCCAGCACTTGGCCAATACATCGGCCGCGGAAAAAAATAGAGTAGACTCTGAGGCGCTTCTACTCAAATGAACCGACGGCGGTCCAACGCGCCAATGTATGCATTGGACCGGTACATTCATCATCACGGCAGCTTGTTTACCACTGCGACTTTTTTTTTTTTTTTTTTTTTTAATTTTAAATTGGCCCAGTGCCCAAGGCTCCAATTATGAATTTGATTACAACATTTAACCACACACCTCTTCCCATTAGGGCTGGAAGAGCCTCAGCCACTGCTCCCCTGGAGACAACTTCCCTGCATGACACAAATATAGAATAATCACAGGGCATTGACCACTGCGAATTTGGGGAGTACTGACGGTTTAATGGCCTAGTGTGAGTATGGCCTCAATGAAGGAAAGAGACCTACTCTTCATACTCTATAACGACAAAGAATTCAATCGGCCCCACAAGCTCTTCAGCCACAGAACTAAACTCAGGGGAGTATTTGAGGAAAAAAACAAAAAAAACAAAAAAAACAAAAAACCCTCAGGGGAGTAATGAACGGCCCTAGCTCAGCTGGTACAGCCATGGACCGTGGAAATACAGACGCAGGTTCCAATCCCGATGCAATCAGATGAACATAATAAAATAGTTCTTCATAACTTGGGGCTGATCAGTTCAGTGATCATATCTCCAGGCCGTATCCTTCAGAAAGCTTAGGCGGAAAAAAGAAAAAGAAGTCCAGGTATAGCAATCTATGGGGCCCAAGCAAACTAGGGACAAGGTCCCACTAGCACAGATGATTGGATTCAATGCCTGAATCTGGACATGTTTCAAGAAAGATGCAGAAAAAAACCGTGATTGATCTACTTCTCTGCATCTCCGCTTAGAACCAATCCAGATGATGCACACTGGGCCCTTTTCGGGCAAATCGGCAAAGCCATTATAGTTTTGCAATCATACTTTGCCCGCCCGCGCCCGCCCGACCGTCCGTCAATTTCGCAATTGGTGCAGCAAATGCCAGCGGCCTGAAAGGCTGCCGGGTTGAGCAATTTGCCACCTCTAGACAGGTGGTGGCATTCACCCCCCACCCCCCCAAGAATCTGTGAGCTCACAGAAGCGAATTGCAGGCATCCCTCCACTACTTTTTCTGTGTGACCACACAAGTGGGCAATTTTTCTCAAATGGCATTATGCCAGGGGGCCTGGGCATTGTCATTTTCAATTTGCTACCGCTGTGCGACTGCGCAACACAGCAACATGGCAAACCAAGAATAGCGAAGGGGCCAAATTTTGCTGTTTCACTTACTAGTACGCGTGTGTGACTCTGCCCTCAGACAAGTACTTCCTAAATTATCACCTACAAAACATGAAGACAGGGCCCTTCACGAAGAAAGGCAAAAGTTTAGTACGCAACCACGCTCCTTTCCGCTTCGAACACTGCCCCTCGCCCAACTCCACTTCCCCACCCCCGCCGCTCTCGAAAACAAGGGACTTTTGAGTCTTGACCCTGCACCCAAGTAGGCGAAAGAAAGAAGAAAATTTGCATCACCAGAGTTTAACCAGATTCTCTCCTCTCCCAATAGAGGTAAGCCTTAACCCATCCTTAACCCTAGTTGACCGGTCTTTCTTTTGAATTACTACTAGCCTTAACCCAGCCAATGTCGGTGTCACTGAATGGTACACTCATCGACTATCGATGAAAAAAAAAAAAACAGAAAAAAGGAACTTCGATGAAAAAAGTTTAACAGTTGACGAGAATTCAGCGGCCTAGCTCAGTTAATAAGGCAGGCAAGTGGCATTCTGGAGGTCATTGGTTCAATGAACTTCAATCCCAATTGGCCTCATGTAATTTGCTGGGCCTGCTTGGCGCCCTCCACCTGCAGATAGCCCATTGCTCCCTTCAATTGGCACCAGAAAGCAGTCTCTGCCAATAGCCCGTTGGTCCCCCCATGTTCATAGGAGGAGGGGTAATCAGCGACTGGCCTCTCAGAGGATACGCAGTACCCTGGCCGATGTCGCCCACAGGGGGTGGTTCCCTGGTGGCACTAAAAAGCAGTCTCTGGAGATAGCCCATTGGTCTCCCCAATTGGCACTAAAAATCAGTATCTGCTGAGGTTCATAAGGGGGAGGGGTAGTCAGGGAGGCACAGCGACTGGCCTCTCAGATGATGCTCGGTGGTCCCTCTGCTACCTGCTGTCCCCTGGCCGATGTCACTCACAAGGGGTTCCCCGATGACACTAAAAAGCAGTCTCTGCAGATAGCCCATTGGTCCCCCAATTGGCACTCAAAATCAGTCTCTGCTGAGGTTCATAGTGGGAGGGGTAGTCAGGGAGGCACAGCGACTGGCCTCTCAGATGATGCTCGGCGGTCCCACTGCTACCGGCTGTTCCGATGTCTCCCACAGGGGGTTCCCTGTTGGCAATAAGGCCACCCTGGGCTGAAAAGGCCACCATTGGGCCAATC